TAATTACATACTTGATATTAGAGCTAGAAATAAATACAGTGGGGGGTTCAAAATTATAGCTGCTTTCGAAATGGTTAATGTTTACAAAAAAAAAAACAATTTTTTTTTGCGAAATATTCGAATAATCGATTAGTTTAGAATATTGATCGGGATTCCAATCTACATTATAGTGACCAATGTTCTAAACTAATCAAGGATTCTAGTATTCACCAAAAAAATTTTTGTAAATATTGCTATTTCGAAAAAACGATAATTTATTTCGAAAATTGTAGGTGCTTAAAGAAATCACATTTATGTTTTGAAACTCTGAAAACCAAATAGGTGAACTTTTTTTTTTAAAAAAAAAATAAGATTTAAATATCGCCTAATTCGAATAAATACGCCACTTATTTTATCCGAAGTCAGATGCCAAATCATTAATTTCGAGACCCTCCAATCTAGACAATTATACGAAGAAAAATTTTTATTAAAACTCTAAAGATGATTAGATACACCAAATTTCGATATAAAATGCAATATTTTTTCAACGAGTTTTTTTTGATTATGATTTTTCATCAGTTAATTCATGGTTATCTAAATCGATAAATATTCTAATGAATTTATATTTGAATGCTAACAAGTAACAATTTGTAAGTGCAGATTTTAAATTTTTAACGTCTTCGGACTTCACAGATTCGAGTCTGATACGATAAAAATCCAAAATAATACATAAAACAATTATTCTTATTACACTTAGCAAGCTAAGCAACCTGATCCATTGCTGATGCTAGACCAGCTATGGAAAAATGATCCACTTCCTATGGTTAATAGGAAATTTGATGTGGGATGCCGCAGGGTAGAGTTTGGAACCGGGTTATTTTCATATGTTAAAACCGATTGAACCGGTTTCTAACTAACTGCAGAGCGCATTAATAAATGTGACAGATTAAAATGAAATCGGATTAAAATGAAATTTTTCTATTTTTTTAGAAAAATTTAAAATTTTTTGGGGTTGGGTTAGTGTTAGAGTTAGGGTTTAGAGTTAGTTTTATTAATAAAAAAGTATAAGTGGGTTTTATAAGCTTTAAAGATGAGCAAGAAAGGTCCCTATTTTCATTTTAATCCGATTTCATTATGATCTGCCACAATAAATAAAAGAAAACGCGTATTTCAATTTCAACATTCGAGCCACAGAATAATGTTTAAGAAAGTTTATCACTGGAAATAGTGCATAAATAATTTATTCGTCAATATTGCGTGAGTAGCAATTCCCTTTAAATATTGTATTTAAAAGTCTTTAGAGCTGTCAGCACAAGGCGAGTACACATTAGTAAGAATTAAAAATCAAAAAAAAAAAGATTTAAAATACGAATATGGCAAAATAAGCGTTTGTTAAAGTTATAAATTATCTTTCAGCCTAAAATACAGTAATTACTATTGTATTGAAATTTTCATAATAGTAATAACACATAAGAATCCTAAGAGTTCTTTTGTTTGGATCCAAAGCTTTTTATTCTCTTAAATCTTGAAATAAACATCTAATTGCATTTTATAAATGGCAATAAAAATAAAAATCTATTATTTCGCACAAAATCGTTTTCTTAAAGTTCTAATTGCAAATTTTTTTTTACCTATTCAATAGGATACTTTCAAGCTATAGAACTCTGATTACATCTAATTAAAAAGTAATTATTCTATTTTTTTTAACCGACTATCGCCATGAATGAGGCTTGTTAAATCTTGTATGAACTTCCTTTCTTGATGGTACCTAAATTCAAAATAGTATTTGAGCATAGTTAAGAAAAATTAACACGCATTTATTGAAGGTATATGTAATTATATTACTAAAAGAAAAAAATTGAGCAAAAAAAATAAGAATAAAAAAAGGATACGTAATACCAGCGACAATAATCGCGCAAAAACAACCGATTCCAGTATGTTTTATCTTTGCACCCATAGTCGCCCATCCAATATGTTCATTAGACCAAAAAGTTACAACCCAAGATATAAAGAATGATATCAATACTAATAGTCTTGGCAAAAGATTTGATAAAGATAACATTCGCTGTAATTCCTCTACTTCACTTTGAGAATAATTACGATTTTTTAAAAAGTAATTTTGAATAAAATTCCAACTCCAAGTAATACGTGTTGAAAGATTAAATGCATTAGCTGCAATCAATCCAAATGCACCAGCCGAAAATACTTTCATGAAAATTATGCCGGAACCAACAAATCCTGCAGAAAATGATATTAACCAATAATTTAAGGTACTAAGAGTCTCTTCAGTTGCAACTGCGGCTACGAATGCCTCTGTTATTCCGTTAACACCCATAATTGGAACATATAAACAATAAGCAGATAACACTATTGGTGCAAGAGATTGTGACCATACAGATCCAACGAGAAGATCAATCAATGTTCCAGTGTAATTCGTAGCAAAGCAGATAAACAAAAGTCCAAGAAGTATATGAAATTTTATTAATGTTGTTAAAACTTTTAATGATGTGAACAATGCTGTTTTTTGTGAATTGACCATTTTTTCATCTTTTTTGTCGACATTAGTTAAAAGCTTAGAAAATAATGTTCTGCCAGTTTCCTCAAGTGGTTGAAATAAGATACGAGCAACCAAAGAACCTAAATGAAAAGTTTGATTTAATTATTTTTATTAAAGTGTATGCAAAAATATTTATCGTTCATACCTTACCATAATTTACAACAAAAGCATAAATTCCTTGATCTGCTGGACTGCTCAACCATGCTATCAACATTTTATCACCTTCGGTCAATATATGTTTTAATATTGATTGTTTTGTAAATGTTTTTGCAAGGCTAAAGAGATGATCATCTAACCAAAATTCTTTATTGCTTTAGGAAATTATATGAATAAATGCATGTTAGTAGTGAATAAAAAGTTAAATAATTATATGAAACAATGAAAAAGGAATAAATAAAAAAAAAAACCCCCATACTTTTTATCACGTAATTTTCGTGGCATCAACAAAGAAATATCCCATTTAGAAACAAAGTAACCAATATAACCAGCCATAATTACTAATGTAAAAGCGAATTGAGCCACAGCAAAAGCCAAAATACCAAAAGTGTTTGGATTTTTTTCATCATTTCCACGTGCACCTAAAAGAGTAAGTACAAGTGTAATGATACAACGAACAATTACACCTATTCCTTCACAGCTTACACGAAGTTTGAAAATCAAGTTATTCATAGCAGTTACAAAAAGTGGTTCGATTATAAGTTCACCAAAAGCAGATATACCATATAAAACAACTGACGTTACATAATATGGTGTGTTGAAAGTTTCTTCAGGAGCATAATATACGTAGAATGAACAAGCAAGGAAAGTTGTAATTATTCCAGCGGGAATAGGAATATAGGATAAATTTGTAATTTTTTGCATAGAACCTTTTGCAGAATCCGCCGGTACAGTTTTTTCTTTGGAATTATTATTATTGTCCACTACAATGGTCTCATCATCACCTCTCAATAAGGCACATCTGAATCCTTCACGAGATAAGAACAAGATAGTAGCTAATAATAATTCTAATTGAACTGATGCAATACCAAATGTTGCTGGATCGGTATAACGAAGCACAATTTGATGCAAACCAAAAGTTGCAAGTCTGCTTATAAGTTGTAAAATTACAAGGGATGAAGCACCAGATACTGAAGATGATAAAATACGAGAAATGTTTGATTCTGATTGATCAGATCCTGTTGTAGTTACATTATTACTTTCATCTTCCTGAGATGGTAGTTTAACGTTCGTTTTACGTTTAATGGTTGACATAGTTATTTACACTTGTATCACTCAAGTCTGCGGAAATTTTTTTTCAAAATAGTAAATTTATAAGATTTTTATCTTTCATATGATTACGTAATAGACTATCTTTGGAAATAGATTTGACATCATTACTGCATTATCCGCTTACGTAGTACGTACGTAACAGTACTGTACGCATATAGCCTACAGCGCAAGGGTAAATTAGTTATTGCATCAATATGATGGCTAATAAAATTATAATAATAATAATAATAATACGTAATAATAATAATAATAATACTGTACGTATAATGATAATATAATAATAATAATAATAATAATAATAAAATCTTAATCGTTAACATTGAAATAAAACGTAATGATTTTCAATTCAAATTTCAACTCATTAAATATCAGTGAACTTTTTTTCCGTCGAATTATTAAATGGTCGAGTATATTACGTACGTATTTCCGGCAGAGACTAATAGATCTAAAAATATTTCCTTTTAAGTTGCTTCTACGTACACTATATTAGTTTTCATTCAAAGCATCAGTAAATCTATTACCGGTATAAGCTTTGTCTAACAATGTAATAGCCAAATTTACACAACGAAACGTATCCTCCTACGGTCGCGCATCGTAAAATAATAATCTAACTCTTTAATGTCAATAAATTTCCTTGTAAAGTTGAAACTGATGACTTTAGATTCTTTTGTATTTAAAAATTTCACTATGTTAAAATTTGAATGATAAAGCTGACTTCATTGTTCTTGGCGAGATGAGCTTGCTACAAGAACTGTTAATTGGTAATTAATGAAGGACCAGTTTATTTCAGTATTTAATGAATTCTCTATAAAAATGAAAAAGACAGATATAAAAAGACGCAAATAATATAATTTATTTGTCAATAAAAATGTGATGTCTAAAGACGATTCGCGTATATATGAACATTACGTAAGTACGCGTTATACTGCGAATGTGACAAGAACGATATATAGTATTATGTGACGTAATTGTAAGGCGAACGGGTAATGAACGGGTAAGTAATCTGGTTCCCGGTACATAATTCGTACTTACGTGCCCATAGAGATGCGGCCCGAACAATTTTTTATATATAAAAAACCGGTTTTTATATATAAAAAATTGGTCGAGTCACATCTTTTACATCTTTTACGTGCCCAAAGTGGACTTAGACATGCTTTTCTCATGACTCGGGATCTCTTAATCAAAACAATTACGTAAGTACATGTTCCAATCATAATAAGGTATGCACACATGAATCAGCTGACAATAGGAACGAAACTTTCCCAGGTTGACATAATTAATTCAACCCAAAAGGGAAAGAGAGAGAGAAACAGACCAGGAAGATCCAGGAATAGCAATTCGAGAAATTCAGAGACGATCCTTGAATTAAACAAGAAAATCCAAGAACAGGCTGAGGTTTTAAAAAATAATTTTGAATATTTACTCATTTTGGTTAGTTTATTATAATAAAAAAAAGGGTTTCGTCACGTTTTTTTTTTTGTTGATCGAGAATGTGATAATTTAATGATATTTAAGGAAAAAGAGGGAAATTTAAAATTGCTTAATATTTCTTTTTGTAAAAATAATTAATATTATCATGCCTTCTTCTGCTATTAAAAGAAGTAAGTTCGAAAAAGAGACCTTTAATAACCTTTGTCGCACTTGTGCAGCATGTCTTCGAATAAGGTAAATATCCCTATGTTAGTATAAAATGGTGAAAAAGCTCTTCGTGACTATAGTTATTAGTGGATATGTAGATCTGGCATACTGTATTAAAGACAATCCGTCGTGATAATAACATAAATTCTCTTTTTTCTTAGATTTTCACCAGATGGCGGAGGACCTAATATAATCGGTGCCTTTACAAAAACCGTGATTCTTGTCCAATGTAAATATCATAAAAGAAGAAGAATCGGTAGTTATTTATTTGTTCTTGATTAGTGTAATCTTTATATGATTAGAAATAACTATTACTTAGTCGATACAAACTGATTGTAGGTCTTGCATCTGTTCAGAAATTGGAACGATTATTATCTATTTTCCCTAAATATACAATTGGGATTCTAGTAGCCTCATCCAAAAATAAATTTAATTATGGTGCCATAGAAAGAGTTAGAACATCTGAATATAATATTATCTTAACTGATAAAAAACATTTATGTTCGGATCTCGTTCAATTCTTTGAAAATCGCAAAGTTCAAGCACCTCCCAATTTTAATTTTAATTTTAATTTAACTGTTTCTTTCTCGGTTATTCTAATTTTTTTATTAATGTTTCAAATTTTACGAATTTTATTCAAATCATATATATACACTTTAACAAATTTTTTCTTAAAATAATTTTTGTTTTTTCTCGAATATCAATAAGTGTATTAAACACACGAAATTTCTTTTGAATTACAGATCTCGGTCTTGACAATTAATAAATATTATACTCTGCTGTAACAAAAAATTTCAGAAGGGATTTTTGTACTTATAACATGCTATCTTCACGTATTTCGCTTCGACGTACTGTACCTCTCTGGGATGCCTGTCTGCCTCCTTTGTAAGTTTCGTTTACATAGAATAACGTATTCGTAGCTAGTTTATTGTTTTTGAACGGGTGAGACGTTCAGTTTCAGCGCAAAATTTGATAATTGTATGCGTTTCTGCTTAATTCGTCCGTTAGTCATGCAAGTGCTTTTTTTTCTGTTCCATGGTACTCTGTTGGGAAATGTCGGAATTTATAGAATGGAGGAATATTTTGACAAATTTGGGCAAATTGAGAAATATCTCGTGACTAAATCCAGAGACTTATAGAGCATTCGGTTCATCTTAATTAACAAATCAAATGGTCTATTACTATGTCGCGAGACATTGACTTTAAAATATTCCCGCTTCGTGTATGGTTTTTGTCGAATGATTATAGTAGGTACATTATTGAGCATTTGAATTTTTCTGAACTGTTAATAAACCTCATCTGATTCAAGAATTGATTCTGGAATCATGAGATCTCTAACGCAATTTTAGATTTTAAAAATGGTAATAGCTCAAATTTTGCTAAGATAACCTGCTCCTGGAGGCTGAACAAAAAATGAATAAAATTTAATTTTGCATATATTATTATTTAAGAAGTGAAAGTAGTTATTGCTGGAACTGGAATAGGATGATCCAGTGTAAAATCTAAATTGATTTTAATGTTTTAAAAATTAATGTTCTCGAATTTTAAAAAATTGTTCTCAAAAAAAATCGTATCAACTTACTCAAATAATGTTCTTACAAAAGATTAAAATATTAAGAGAACTTTTTTTTTTTTTTAAGCAAAATGTTCTTAATTTTGAGATAGTGTCTCATTATGACATGAGAATATAAGTTTTTCAACACTGAATGGGACAATTTTATTTCAAAAAACAGCAATACAGCATTCATATCATTAATAATATACCTTCGGAAGAGAATATCTATGATCTCTGTTTTTTTTTTTTTTTTCTAAATAAATTAAAAAAATAAATTAAATTAAAAATAAAATAAATTATAAAATAAGCTTAAATTTAAAAAATAAATAAAAAATAAAAATAAATTATCAATTAAATTAATTAAATTAAAAAATTAAATATATAAAATAAAGTAATTAAAGTAAAATAAAATTTATTCTAGTCTATCTACTTTTTTTTACTATGTTTCTGATAAACCAAATCCATTTATACCATAGTTTTTAAATTCGGTAGGCATATAGGGTGTGGCTTACATAAGTAGGGAGGGTGTGAAGCGTTGCGCAGAACGTAAATCATAAATTTGGAATTAATAATATTATGTTAAAGAACCGTTTTTTGTTATTTAACGAGTGAAAAACATGTACATAAATTGATAAAAATTTAAATGTTTAGCAAAAAATGTCTCATTTTGGAGGGGTTTCCGGTTTAATAATTTAGTTTAGTATGGTTACTCTGGAAATTTGATCTTCATGAAATTAAAAGCTATGTAAATGTCACTAAGGTTGCGTGGTGTAATGGTTAGCACCCAGGACTCTGAATCCTGTGATCCGAGTTCGAATCTCGGCGTGACCTTTTACAGATTTTTTTTTTAATCTATGATCTCATGATTAGAATAATTAACATATATCACATGATTTGTACATATCGATACGAGTGAACTCTCAGCGTAGCTATAACATGCTCATAAAAATAAATTATCGATATATTTCGACAATTAGTAACGCACGTGTGAATGCACTGTATGTATCAGGTGTGTACATTTGTGTAAACATAAGCATATTGTATTTGTTTGGCAAATTATTACAAAAATCGATCTTACCGGTTCAATAGCAGTCGATATAAATATCATAATTCATTATTAAAAACGAAAATTGTCAGATTAAAGTAAAAAAAAAAATCATTTAATTAGACCAGACCAACTTCATTTTCTGTTTAACATAACATGAGGTGACCTGTAAAGGGAGTTGGTATTAAAAAAAAAACAAAAAAAAACAATAATATTAGATAAAACTAATGCTGCAATTTTATTTACTTATATAGATTTTAGAAAATATAGAGGTTATGTAATATTAAGTGTATTGGTTCCTATAATTTTGAAATTTGAGAGGCGGGCTTGTTAAACAAAAAATATAATTTGGTTTGGCCTAATATATATCGACATTCTTTTAGTTACATTAAGGTTTGTTACCGAAAATGATCCGAAGGATAAGCCACGAAGGTTGACTTTTTTTCAAATTTATAACAATAATTATTAAATGCGAAGCAATTTTCATTAATTTCAATTCTGTATATAATATCACTGCATTCGATAATTCTCTGCCAGAATATACAAATGATGATTCATGTTTCGTCAAAGATTTTTAATTGGACTTTCAATTATACAACTCATGATTTTTATCATAATGAACTCGTTGACGAATCCTCTTATGCTATATATTTTATTGCATTTTAATTATTTTACATATACCTTTCTTAGGACGCCCTAAATCAACCAGGACTCGATTAAGAAATCTATCAGCGACGACTGGGTTTCTGCAACTGGATTGAGAAAACTTTGTGTTGAACAAAGGTGTGCAATTATTTTTTATGAACTCTAACCAATGATTGTAAAATGTAACAGTTTTGCTTAGAACCTGTCAATAAATTGAAATATATATATATTAAACTTTTGTTTAATGTTTGAATTCAATTATACATCGCATTCCATAGTTTGAAGAACCAAATGTTTTAAAACACCTTGATGTAAACTACAAAGTGTGTCATACTGACAATTTGACTCAATTTTAATCAGCTGCAATACAAGATTTGTCAATAAATCAAAAAATTTCGTAACTGAATATTTTTTTGCCCGATAATGATCTTTAGCGATTCTTGTATTTTAATGGATTTTGAAAAATTTTAATACAGAAGTCATAACCTTCTCGTTGTAACAAAAGTTTTATGACATCGATTAAAAGATTTGCCATCGAGAAATTTCGTAAGCAAGCTTTTCAAATGCATTGCGAGATAAAAATGAATATTCTTGCATCTCGGTGATTTTTAAAATTTACACTATAGAGCGAGCAATCTGATGAATAAGAATTTATTTTTTATTTTTATATGAATTAATTTATAATGATCAAAATTTAATTTTAAATCTCTTGATTTCGGCATATAGCATCATTTTAATTATTATTTATTTCTTGTCCAAGGATTAAGCAATATTTGAAAAATATCCATAGATATATCAGGCTTAATTTGCTTATTTTATACTGAAGTTGCTTCAAGAATGTATATTTTTGGCCAAAATTCGAAAACTTACTGTATAAAAATTGTTTACCTATCTATGAATAGTTCGAGTTCCATTAAACATATCTTCATAATTTTATTATATCCTATTGTATTTGTATTTCAATTATATTTACGTGTAATGTATATATAAGCTTTTCATCTTACAGTATTTTCGCGTAATAACGCTCACCTGCGCGTTATTTCGAGTACGCGCATGAACGTTATTTTGAAGCAATTAAAAAATTTTAAAAAATTTTACTGTATGTAATTCTTGTATAAAAGTAAACAAAAATACTAGATTTAGTACTAAGTAAACCTTCCTTCGAGCTTTAACAAAAGGTGTTCTGAAAAACAACTTTTGTTGAAGTTCGAAAGTTTACTTAGTATTAAATCCAGTTCCGAAGTATTTTTAAATCTTACTATAAATTTTAGCTGCCCGATAGAGTGTCCAGCTATTTCTAGCATCTAAAATAGCACTAGCGATATCACGAAAACAACCAAACTAAATTCGATAAAATTTGTCCTATTTTTATTCTATAAACATATATAACTAAAGTAAACAATTCCGGTTGAATTTGATTATGTGTTGTCGTAATATCGCTAGTGCTATTTTAGATGCTAGAAATAGCTGGACACTTTGCTGCCTGATACAAGAGTATCGGTGCAACTTTTTTGTCTCGAATCGATCACGGGGCTTTTGTAATTGTTTAAGTGATGATTGTATTGATTTATCGTATGATTTCGCTTGATGCATTGTTTGATTGTTGTATGATTTCGTATGTGATTTTTGTGTCGTAATGACGTAGAAGTAATCGTTTGTAGTTTTTTTAAGGAGAACGGGTTTTTTCTTAGGAAAGGTAATTTCTTTCTTTTCTGCTAACCCGACTTTGTCTGGTTTTTTCGTCCCACCCTACCCAACCCTAATGGGAACTATTGAAGCAATAACGATGGCCGGGCGGGACAGCAGTCAGGGTTTTAGGTTTTGGGGTAAGAATTGGCCTGTCGAGACGACAGTCATAAACCAAGCTTTGTAGTCAATGGCCTGTCGAGACGGTAGTCATTAAGTTTTTTTTGAAGTAATGACACCAGTTTACTTAGCATAGCGGGCTTTAATTTGATTGGATGATCGAATGAAATGTTACACGATATATCTTCCATATTGGCGTAACGTTTCTCAGCCACAAAAATTGATTCGCAGCCACGGATACGAATTCGCAGAGGGTAAGACAAATAAATTCAGAAATTATATGTTCTATTTTACAAACTATCAAGTAATTCGGTAATCCACTAAGTAATTCAGAAGTTAGATAAGAAGCCTTTTTTCCTTTTTTTTTATAACCATATAAATGACCAAATCTTAAAATACAACTAAAATGCTTTTTTTTACTCTTAAAGATGCCCATGCCCTTGTGAAAGCACAATCTAACAATTATTTGCATACAAGCCTTCATCCATGGAAGAATCAAACACTGGTAAAGCGGTTTTTTTTATAGATTTAAGTGTATGTTTTAACAAGTTGTAGTTAAATCTGTTGGCTATTACGTATTTAAAAATCTTGCAAATTTAAATAAGATATTGGGAGATTGTTGAAATAATAATGTAAGAGGTTTTTTTTAAGTTCAATAATAAATAGAAATATAGATTATTAATATTAATAATAAATATTTTTTTAATTATATATAGAAAATAACTAAAATTCACTATAGGTTATTATCACCTATGGTTGTACATACATAATTTATATATATCGATTGCACAAAAATAAAACCCAGAATATAATTAGTATTAGCATTAGTATGATCAGCATGTTTTATATATATATTGCCAATTGTTAACCCAATTTGATTATGCATAATGCAATTGTTATTGTTATTAAATAAATAAATAAATTAAATAATCAAACAATTAGCTTTCTTTTACTTATATAAAGTATTTTTGTCTCATAAAAAGTAATGTAAGTCAAAAGAAAAAACTGTTAGTTTGTTGGTAAAGTTACTAGAAAAATACAAAAGAAGCCAAATATAATAGAAAATTATGTCTTTAAGTTAGTTTACTGTGAAATGACAACATTTTCTAATCTTATGGTTCAAAGGTTTATAAGGTTAGTGCAAAAGTTTTTTGTTAACTATATGCTAAAATTACATGTATATTGACTTGTTTATTTATCAAGTAGTCCTACTACAGAGCTTGAGAACCAAGATTTTGAATAGTTAGTAAAAAAACTTCTTGACAATTAAACATTAAAATAACTTCAAACCAAGAATTTACTTTTTGAAGGTTATCAAGTAATTTTGCTAAAATCAATTCTAATATAAAGCAAAACCAAATATTTAGATAGTTATCGAGTAATTCTCTTTTCAAACTTGAGGTTGATTCTAATATAGTACATAACCAAAGCTTCGGATAGTTAATAAAAAAGTATTTTGGCAATTATATACTAAATAACATTTCACTAATTTATTTTTTTTTATTTGTTATCAAGTAACCCTTCTGTTAAATTTGAATTTGACTCTAATATGATGCAGAACCAAAAGTTTAGATAGTTAGTGAGGATGCTTCTTTGGAGTTCTGCACTAAAATGATGTTCAACTAATTTTTTTTTATAGTTATCAAGTAATTCTTCTATAGAATTTTAAATCAATTCTAGTATAATGCAGAATCAAAACTTTAGATAATTAGTAAAAAAGTTTCTAGATAATTAATTACTACTAAATATTCACTGATTTGCTTTTTGATAGTTATAAAGTTGATTCCAATGTAGTGTAAAACAAAAATTTCAGATGGTTAGTGAAGTTTGTAGTTACATATTAAAAATAATCAATTTTTAATATTTTGCTTTTTTAATTATCACTAAGTAGCCTTACTACAAATTTTGATTCTAACTTGCTACAGAATCAAAGTTTTAAAAAGTTGGTAAAAAAAACTTGATAAATTTATGCTTAAGTTACTTCTAACTAATTTTTATTTCAATGATTATAAAGTAACTATGCTGTAGATTCTAAGGTCAATTCTAATTTGAAGCAGTAGCAAAATTTTTAATAGTTAGTAGATATTTTTGTTTTTTTTTTTTTTTTTTTTTTTTTTTAAGAGAGGTCTTTCCTCTATTCCTTTATTTCAAAATATATAATTGGATACAACTCGTACAAATTTATACATTTAACGAAAGGGAGTAGAAGTTAGGGCTCAGGTTTACCCTCGACCTATTCTTAGCTAGAACAGTCGAAAACCTCTAGGCTATGTAATTAGAGAGTGGGGATGTAGAATTATTGTAAATAAATTTGTTAATCCATGCAATGAATTGTCTATCTATGGAGCTAAGGGGAGTATTAATTTCTAACGGGGTGATGATAATTAAAGGGTTAGGAGTAGTCTGTTGTATGCGGGTTCTACTTGGTTTCCATAATTCATCATGTATACTTTTAGTAATGGTGTGGTATATTTGTGAGATTATAGTAATGTTTTGAAGAGTTAATCCTAATTTTGTAGATATTATTGTGCTGATAAACCTGATAGAAATTTGTTTTTCAATATGGGTTGTAATGAAGTCTTGTATAAACTCGTGGGTTGTTGGTGTGTTTATCTTGTTTGTTTGGCATACTTTAGTTATTGCTTTATGTATGATTTCATCAATTTTCACTAGGTTGTGTGGGCATGTGAGCATGTGGACAGTGTCTTCGAGTTTTTGGAGGCATTTTGCACAGAAGGGATTAGGGTGTGTTGATTAGCTTCTTTAGTAAAGATGTAAGTAGGTTGGCAGTTCTGAAGTTAGTAGTTTTACTTTAAAGATTTTTAAAGTTGATTTAATAGGGCAGGTATTTTGACCAAGTGGGTTGTCTTGAAAGTTTAGGTAGTCGAATGTTAGTTTCCAGTTAATGTTAGGAAGTTTTTGTATGATAGATTTGATTCGGTTTTGTTTGTTCCATTGGATAGTAGCTTTTGCTTTTTGTATGATTTTGGGTATTTGATGGATCGAGTATGTGGTGGGGAAGCCAC